TATTAGGTTCAGTCACTGTGTCTCTACGAGCCTCATATAGCACCTAGAGACACATTGATACTGTTTTTAATTAAATAAATCATTATTTTCAATTAAAATACCACAAACACACGTCTCTATGTGACATATACCAATTATATAATGTTATATGTCTCTAGGTAACATATTAATACTACAATTAATTAAGAAAGTAATTAATTAAACCTGCAACAGCATAGATCACACATTTATGAAACTTTTTACAAGTTTCATAAAATTTTGCTTTTTGAAACTGGATTTATGAAGACAGGATAATCCTCAAAATCCTATCTAATGTATGAAACAGTTTCGACAAGTTGAGAATGCCTTATGTGGTAATAGAATGATTAGTCAATGACAAAATAAGTATTAAAAGATTAAAAGAATATACAAATCACAAATTAAGTCTTTATTTGTACAAGATTGCAATGGACTACAAAAAAAAGTAGAGTGTTAGATTATTATTTTTTATACATCTTGTACAATTTCTTGAAGTGGTGTATTACCGAGTCAAAGGTTAATGAAAAGCAAAAGTTATACAAAGAATTTGCACGAGAGCTTGCTGGTATATTATAACCATTATTATTCCATGAATATCTCTCTCCATGTGTTCTCTTAATTTTTAGACCATCCAGAGTTTTCACAGTCCAACCGTGTCGAAGAAAGGTCAATGGACAGAATATGCCAGAGTGTATGTAATAATACTGTGTAGGAAAATATAGACCTATTACGTGTGATCACATCAAATCAGAGTTCATCATCTGAAAAAGCGCACTTTTGCCTTTCAGAAAATGAAGAAAATGAAATGAGTTATTTATAGCGAAAAGATATTTAAAACTTTTGGTGACACATGGTAGTGGTGTTCTAATTTTTTCAACCAACAAAAAATTTGTATATACCGAAAGAAATAAGAAAAAGAGCTGATTTTTATAGGAAGTTTATGGAATAACATAAAGAGTTCTAGGAAATATTGTCATGCCCATCGATTGACAGACATTAGAATGATTCCTAAAATACAGCTAGAAAACGAACGGTACCACGACTATGCAATCCATCCCTATAGTTGACTTAGAGCGACATGTAACTACTTCGTGGGTTGGCTAAACGGCGTAGTAACTCAAAGATGATTCGGTTGTTTATCGAAACATATGAATTTCACATCTGTCCTAGTTTAACAAAGCTCGTTTCATGGGCCTCTTAGTCAAGACGTATCCATTGTGCATACATTCTTTTGATTTGAAGGACATTTTGTTGGACAAATTAGATGAAAGTTATCTCCTTATTTCTATTGCAATGATAGGTAATAAATATCTCACCCACAAGGTTATTGAAATCCATCCATTTCATTTATGATTTTGCTTTTGAAGCAAAAGCAAATATTAGAAATGATTTGAGTTTGAACTTAAATCAATTAGATGATAATCAAAATAAAATGTTGTATATATATAAAATGACTCTAAATACTTTTCCTTTGTAACACAAGCTGAATCTAAAGGGTGCATTTTGTTCAGAATCCAACACTCTATAAAACTACATGTGACATGTGACTTGGTAAATGAGTGTTTTTGGAGAGCTAGACTCCGTCAAGATCTTCCTTGGGGTTTCTTGTCCCCAAAAAGCTTTTTTCTGCTTTGATCATATGTACGGTGTCGGAGATGATTTCAGAGGGGAGCCTTTAATGCCGATGCATTTGTGAAAGGAAGAGTAATTTCTTTTTAGTACTACTCTGATAGCTAATATTTTTTGTAATATAAAAGTGAAAACATGCAGCAATATACACACGAATGTCGACATTGAGTTTAAGTTTGAGATAAAAAACTGTCAAAATATAATATTTGTCATCAGTTGCTATAGAAACGTGTAGTTATTTTCTGAATTTCATAAGGTGAGCAAATGAGTGGTAAGAAAATTTTGGTAGATTATAATGTACAAAATGATGTGTACACATACCAAGGGGGGAGGAAAGTACTTCTCGGTACTTCTCCGTACTTCTGAAGTACGAGGTACAAAAAAGAACTGGTGTATTTACTTTAATTACTTTTGGATCTGGTTCTGTTACTGGTAAAGCCGTTGCAAATGCTTGTTTCACTTTCATTATATCGTTTTCAAATGGAATACCAATAATCAATTTTTGTTCGATCAATTCTTGTAACGGTTCAATCGATTTTATAACATCAACTTCAAGACGAGCTAAATATCAACAAGGCGACACATATTAATAAAATTATTGTCCCAGTGTATGACAATAATGCATAAGCCAAGTTCGAAACGTTCTAAGACTAGGGATGCACCGAGACGGGGTATTCGATACCCGAAACTTTAGTCTCGATTAGTCCCGAGTCTCGAAAGTTTCGGTCTCGAATAGCCTCGAGTCTCGATTAGTCTCGAGTCTCGATTAGTCTCGAGTCTCGATTAGTCTCGAGTCTCGATTAGTCTCGAGTCTCGATTAGTCTCGAGTCTCGATTAGTCTCGAGTCTCGATTAGTCTCGAGTCTCGATTAGTCTCGAGTCNCATCGAGACGGGGTACTCGATACCCGAAACTTTAGTCTCGAGTCTCGAAAGCTTCGGTCTCGAATAGTCTCGAGACTTTAGTCCCGAATAGACTCGAGTCTCGAAAGTTTCGGTCTCGAATAGTCTCGATATAAAAGTGCCGGTAGCAAAACTTTCCGAGACTTTTTCTAGACTATTTTTT